AAGGAAGACATTGCCGGGGGAGCCCTCTGTGTGAGCTCATCGCTGGCGAGGAACGCCGACGCTGCGCCGCGGACATCTGGACCCGCCACACACACTGAGCCCATTTTCTTGCCCATTATCCCCCCCCTCCAAAAAAAACACAGGCCCCTGAAAGGGACCCGTGTGCTGTGCCCAGTCCCAGGATCACTTATTGTAACGGCCATAGACAAGTGATTATGTCAGCGCCAATAATACCGAGATCAATCCGGGGGGCGCAGATACCGAGAATGACAAGAGAACTGGTACTGTGCAGAGTCCATACATACAGAATAAGAACAGATACCGAGAATGACACCCGGCATACAGGACAAGGGAAGTGGTACTGTGCAGAGTCCATACATACAGAATAGGAACAGATACCGAGAATGACACCCGGCATACAGGACAAGGGAAGTGGTACTGTGCAGAGTCCATACATACAGAATAGGAACAGATACCGAGAATGACACCCGGCATACAGGACAAGGGAAGTGGTACTGTGCAGAGTCCATACACACAGTATAAGGACAGATACTGAGAATGACACCCGGCATACAGGACAAGGGAAGTGGTACTGTGCAGAGTCCATACATACAGAATAGGAACAGATACCGAGAATGACACCCGGCATACAGGACAAGGGAAGTGGTACTGTGCGGTTTGAGTACATTCCTATATGTAATATGTATTATTATGCCCCCCCCTCCCCCCCCGGTGTGAGGTCATACTCAGCGGCGCTCTATAGTGCGCTCTCCTGGGGTGCCTCGGTCTGGCGGAGGTTCGATGTTTCGGATCGGGGAAGACATCACCCCGTCTGTTCCTCGGCCAGTCGGGGGAGGAGGAGGAGGAGGAGGAGAGGGCCACCAGGCAGTAAAGTAGCGCTCGCTCGGGATCGGGTGACACGGGACTCGCACATCATTTGGAAAACATGAATAGACGCCCGGCTCTGCTCCACCCAGATAGAGTAACAGCCATCAGCGTGACCGCACCTCGGCTTCCAGGACCCGGCACAGCCATCAGCGTGACCGCAGCTCGGCTTCCAGGATCCGGCACAGCCATCAGCGTGACCGCAGCTCGGCTTCCAGGATCCGGCACAGCCATCAGCGTGACCGCACCTCGGCTTCCAGGACCCGGCACAGCCATCAGCGTGACCGCACCTCGGCTTCCAGGACCCGGCACAGCCATCAGCGTGACCGCACCTCGGCTTCCAGGACCCGGCACAGCTTCCTTTCTTATGCCATTCTATTGGCTTCAATACTTATTTGTAGTCTGTAGCTCCGACGTGACGCAGATAACACAATGCGTAGCGGCTCCCATCCTCATCCTGCGTTGATGGGTGACGGCACGTTTGGCCTTTCTTGTGTCAACAAGAAGATAATAAAACTCGGCCCGCTCTCATTATAAGACGTCGCGCTCATTGTGTAGAAGGTCAGAGCGCCGGAGCCGAGTATTAAATGTGAGCAAATGGAGCGCTCTGCATATAAACACCCCCGCCGGGTATTAATGCTCCACGTGCAGCAAGACCGAGCGAGGAGGAGCTGTCATACCGCGTCCCATATCCATCCTGCGTCCTCTCTCATATCCATCCTGCGTCCAATATGCATCCTGCGTCCCATCCCATATCCATCCTGCGTCCCATCCCATATCCATCCCGCGTCCCATATCCATCCTGTGTCCTCTCTCATATGCATCCTGCGTCCCATCCCATATCCATCCCGCGTCCCATATCCATCCTGCGTCCTCTCTCATATCCATCCTGCGTCCTCTCTCATATCCATCCTGCGTCCTCTCTCATATCCATACCGCGTCCCATATCCATCCTGCGTCCTCTCTCATATGCATCCTGCGTTCCATCCCATATCCATCCCGCGTCCCATATCCATCCTGCGTCCTCTCTCATATCCATCCTGCGTCCCATCCCATATCCATCCCGCGTCCCATATCCATCCTGCGTCCTCTCTCATATCCATCCTGCGTCCCATCCCATATCCATCCCGCGTCCCATATCCATCCCGCGTCCCATATCCATCCTGCGTCCTCTCTCATATCCATCCTGCGTCCCATCCCATATCCATCCCGCGTCCCATATCCATCCTGCGTCCTCTCTCATATCCATCCCGCGTCCCATATCCATCCTGCGTCCTCTCTCATTTCCATCCCGAAAAACCCGATGACCGGTACCGACCCGAAATCTCCGATCCACCCGACAAGAGAGACTTCCAATCACAATGTATCCCCAACAGACGTTTCTACTCAACAAGTCCGAAAACTTCCCGATATTTACAGAACAAAAAGTTCTCCCAAAATCTCCACCAATCACGACACAGTGTACAGCAACCCCATCGCTCCGCCCACAATCTCCACCTTCTATCATTAAACAGTACACCAGCTCCAGCCAGTGACTTTGCCTGGGCTAAGATGATGGCATCAGTCTGCTGCAGGCAGGAGGAAGCATTTCCTCAGTCTCCCCTCCCCCTCAGTGATCAGTCTGCTGCAGGCAGGAGGAAGCATTTCCTCAGTCACCCCTCCCCCAGTGATCAGACTGCTGCAGGCAGGAGGAAGCATTTCCTCAGTCTCCCCTCCCCCTCAGTGATCAGTCTGCTGCAGGCAGGAGGAAGCATTTCCTCAGTCACACCTCCCCCAGTGATCAGACTGCTGCAGGCAGGAGGAAGCATTTCCTCAGTCTCCCCTCCCCCCAAGGGATCAGTCTGCAGCAGGCAGGAGGAAGCATTTCCTCAGTCTCCCCTCCCCCTCAGTGATCAGTCTGCTGCAGGCAGGAGGAAGCATTTCCTCAGTCACACCTCCCCCAGTGATCAGACTGCTGCAGGCAGGAGGAAGCATTTCCTCAGTCTCCCCTCCCCCCAGTGATCAGTCTGCAACATTGTAACTTTGTATCCAGTCACAAGGTGAGAGTCTGCAGCAGGGGCTGATCTATGTCAGACATCTGTGAACACAGCCAAGAACTGCGCAGGCACCGGGATTCACATGATTGTGTCGGGTCTAAGGCGGCATCTCAGTGCAGGAAGTAGATGGTGACCCCCGGGTGATGCCTGGACAAATATGGTGCCGTCCTTCAGATGAAGGCATCGTCAGGGAGGTAATACATTCCGGGAAGTGACACATTAGTGAACATATCTGATGACAGGTCCACTTTAATCTTTAGCACGTGTCCTCGCTCTCGGCATCATTTGGCCTGCGCTCCGTCAAGTGTTTTTCCAGCGGCTCCGTCGGGTTTCTGACCTTCAATGATTTCCAAACTTCACTTCTCAGCGATGAATTTCTCAGCTCGCGGTGCAGACAGAAGACTCACTTGTGTCGCTGCGCTGGGTGTGTTTGTACAAGGTGAAGAGGAAGTCACCATCCCTGTGCTGAGTTCCTGGGTCTGTACACCCGCTGTGCCCATTATGAGGGGCTTCCCGGGTGCAGGGGGGGAGGGGGTACAGGACTGATCTCTATGGTCTCCCTCTATAGACAATGAAGATTCTCTCTGTAGCTCTTTGTCCGGAGTCCCCCTTTAATATTCAGGGCGGGGCTGTGACCAGTCCCGGCGGCCAGTCAGGGGGTTGGTCGGGTCTGAGGTCTATTCTTATTCTCTGCTCTCATCTTCTATATTTATCTGCTGGTCGGGGTGACACTGCCGGCTTCCAGCTCCGCCCTGACACAAAGTAACGAAAACATCCGCCCGGCTATGTAACTCTGTTACTCATCGGAGATATGATTTATAGACTGCGCTCCGCAGGCCCCGCCCCCTCTCCCACTGATGGGCGTGGCTAAAGGTGACGCATACAGATGGGTGATCGCTGTAGCTGGACGAGCGATTCGCCATCAATAGGGAGGAGGAGACACGCGATACATTGTTACATTATTTATTGATTGATTGGGAATACGATCGATTATAAACAATGAATTAGAACGCACAATGCGATCAATCGGTATTGCGATCGGTTCCCTGACAGATATTTGTGATCAGAAGTGAGAGCAAAAATGTCACCGCAGCCAATCGATAACGGCAGAATCAATAACACGAGTTCTCTGCTGTGTGATCCAATCAGGTTCATTGATCGATCATATTGATACATGTGTGGTCACCATTACCATTTCTCTGTTATGGGGGAGGGGGGGGGGGAGTGATGGGTCTCTTGTAGGGGGGGGGGGGGGGGGAGTGATAGGTTCAACCCCTCAGTCACAA